GATATACAAGATAACCTGGGGTATAGGACATATAAGAACAGATTGATGGCTCAGGGATGGAGTTTTGTTCTTAATTCCATGGGTAACATTTTGCTGGCAGACAATTATACAAACACCCACCAACTTCAGTTGGATTTAGGGCCAGTTTCTTCCCTCAAAGGCACAAGAGTAGCTTTAAGTTGGTGTTATGACCATTCACTGGAGGGCAGAAATTGGCAGTAGAATTCCTTGCTTTTGAGCATTTAACTGAGACCTTTAAATTATCTTTGCAGTCTGCAGGTTAATATTACAATAAAGAGAAAACTATACAAGCTATTATTCAGCACCTTGCAGAATTATGAACTGATTGCTCAAAGTTTTCAGAGACTCTTTTCACTGGTCACAAATTTATCACTGTGGAGTATCTAATATAAATTAATAGCTATACAGGACATCTTAAGCATGGTTTGCAAGCAGAATGTGATTATTTCATTCCAATCTTTGTCATTCCTTCTTTAATTTTCAAAATGTAGATTAACAGTAAATATTCAAGTAATCCACTAATTAATAAGAAAGTTAACGAAGAGGTTAATATTTTGTCTTTTTATATATGTACGACACCTGTATTTTGAAGCAGTATCAACCTCCTTTACAATTCTTGAGAGATCATACTTTGTCAGAATTTGCCTCTCCCTCCTCAGACTCCTATCTTCTTTCAACCAAATAAACATTAAGGGTCTGACCCTGTGATCCTTAAAGGCATGCAGCTCCCACTGGCTTGTCTTCACGGTCCTATAACTCAATGGGAATTTAGCATATAAACACTGCACAGTGATTTATTTGTGAGATTCCTGCAGTGAGAGTCAGAGGGTAGCCACACAAAAGGTCTCGAAGATGTAAACCTAGGTAAATAGCAGTGAAAAGGAGAAATAATGCAAAGCCATAGGAAAACTATAACTAGAGGAAACAAATGTTTTCATTCCCTGCATGATAAGCGAGTGGGTCTTAGGAGCCAGGGAACAGTTAGTTTGTGGGAGAATATGAAAAACTACCTCAGCCACCCTTTCTCCCATTACCAACCAAAAAAAATCACTGTTTATGTATACATATTGCAGAATGGGAGCCTACGTTTGTATATAAACAGGTTGTGGCTTCACAAACATGGTATAGAGTTAGTAATTGAGGGACCTCTCTCCAGTACAGAAACAGAGGATAATAGTATTTCCTATACAAATTGTTCCCCAAATTTATATTCAATAAACTGTTAATGCTTTGTGCTGTACCTGCGAAAATCCAGAAGTGACCTTGTGGAAGCAGGAACTTTCTGGTCATGCCAGCTAAGGAAATGGAATTGTGTCACGGTTCGGGTCTCATTGGTCTGTAGGTTTTTCAAGTAAAAGCTCCTCACTAGGAAATCCTCACACCAGATGTGCTCAGAAACCAGATTTACCTACATTATATAGAACGAGAAAAAACAACAATCAAGAATTCAAGTTGAAAGTTGGTCTTTGAACAGAATGGAATCTTTTGAATGAAAAGAACAAGAATAAGATTTATTGTTAGTAAATTTGTATCACCATTGAAAAAAATTGTTATTTAGTAGTTACTGTGGCTGTTCTTGCTACCGTGTGGGGAGTAATTTTTTGTTTCATTGAATTATGCTTAACATTTCTAGATAGTTTTCTTACAAGTAAAAAAAAATCTCCAAATTAAAATTTTAGATTGATTGTAACGGGTCATATAATTGGAAAAGATGCTACTAGATAATATGCCTTGGTTCTACCCTTTTATTCTGCACTGGGAGATGCCCACAATCCATTGATTGAACTGCTCAGGATGATCTGACTAGTTTTAAACAAACAAACAAACAAACAAACAAACTCTTTAAAACTTGAGAACTGTAAGTTGATTTATTCAGTTCTGCAGAAGCCTACACATAATATGAAGAGCAGGATAATTTTTAGAACTGACAATATTTTAGGGAACAATGCATAATTCTGGGGTTCAACTAACCACTCAGAATCATTTATTTCTTATTCTTTTCATTGTGTTCATTCTGGCATTATTGTTTTCTTTCATTCAACCAGAAGACCAGGAAAATATAGAAATCCAAAAGTCATTTTATATAGCAACAATGTGATATGATAGACATATTGGACCAGATATATTAAGCAAAAAGAATGTAACTATTTTTTATGTAACTGAGGCAGATGCTAAAAATAGTTTTAATTACAAAGGAATTTATATATATAATTATACACACACACACACACACACACACACAAATATACAGACTTTTTATATAACCCATATATAGCTCTCATAAGGTACAATTCATTATTTATAAATATACGATTTTCCTTTAAAATATAAATATTCAGTTAGAACACACTTTCATATTTTAATATTAAATCAATGAGTAAAAGATTAGCCATCCTTTATCCTACTGATTTAACATATCATTTACTTGATTTTTTTCTATGTAAACAATGCTGTCTTTAAGATATGCATAGGTTTTTTCTGTAAATATAAAACAACTCAAAGGTACTTTTACACTAGCATTATATGGGAGACCTCAGATCAATTTACAGGTCAAATCCGATTAAACAATATTTTTGCTCTGTATGAAATCAATCCACACACTTAATGTCAAGTTTACAAGCAGATATTTTGTTTAAGTACCTCATAGATGTGGTAGAGGTTTGACCCTTCATCTGGCCAATAGTGGTAGCACTGCTTGACTCCATTTTCAGTAAGGGGTGTCAGCATGACAATAACCACACAGCCGTTCTCCCAGACCATCTGCAGACAAAGAGACACCGTGGCCACACTGTGACTGCCTAATTACTGCGTGACATGTATAATTACTGCACTCAGACACACAATCAAAATTTATTCCATTCACAGGAAATTTATTTCATTTTCATTAGACACTTTTCCTCTGCAGCTGCTTTCAAATCCCTGAATAAACTGGCACCATATTTTGCATGCTTCCTTGAAATATTAAAGAATGTCCAATGAATTCAATCCATGCCCTTAAACCCTCCTCCCCCCCACCCAGAGAAGACCCATAAACTTCCCATCATTAGGACTGTTTTCAGCTCTTTTCCTTTCAACATTCATATCCATAAAAGAAATGATTAAAAAACACAACAGTTTAGTGTCTAATGTTTTGCACTAATACAGGATGGACACATACAATATATTGATTTACTAAGGTAATGCAAACTGAAATTGTTTGTGTGCTCAGATTTGTTTATTTATATATTTTGTTATGTAGAAAAAGCTGCTGAACAACTACCTTAATGAAATAGTCATAAAAATTGAATCAAATCAAACTTAAAGGCCACAAAATACTTTGCTTGAGAAATATTTCATGTGGAGAAATGTTCCTTTCAAAAACATTGCGTTAAAAATATATGTGCAGACACACGCATTTTTAATTTAAATTTTATGTAGGATATAAAATGAAATAGTGCAACCCACCCTCCAGGCTATCCACTCCCAAAACAAGACAGCAGGAGTACAAGAGAACAACGAATCAGCAAACAGCATGACTGTTTAATAATTTAAAATAGCCAGAGAGAGGAAAATAGGAATCCAAGGCTCTTCAGCTAAGAGTTTGTAGATGTTTTTACACAAACAAGAAAACAAGCAAAGATTGTCTGGCATATCTGCTTTCCAAACACAGCTCATGAATGAACACAAAAACTGCTATGAATTAATATTGAGACAAATAATCATGAAAAAAACATTATTATGGTTTACATTGATATATTTGCATCAACTTTCATTTTCTTTATTAGCATATTACATTACTGTGTGAAAAGAAAAAACTGCTCTTTTTGTAAAGGGTTAAGTTTATTTCAGATAAATGTTTATAAGCAACTATATTGAGATGTAAATTTTGTAAATAAAAGGCCTTTACCTAAACTGCACAAAAATGATACAATTTAAAAATTTTTAAAAGTGCATATTATACAGTAAAATAAAAAGGGTTTCCATTTAATAGTATCAAGACTTCGCATTTAAATCTATCTTGCAACATATACAAATATATTTTTCTTTAACATAAATGTATTTCCTCATGCAATATAATAGCAACATCCTTAAAGCATTGTTTGTACTAAAATTTATTGGCACTTTATGAAATATATTTGGTGTTTCTAAAGTTTAGGACTTTTTGTGATTTTGAGGGGAGTGCAGAGAGGCAAATTATGGGATTTTTTTTTTGAGTAAATGTATTCTTCCGTCTTCTCACCCTATCTCCCAAGACTGGTCTCTGAATGAACCAAGGTTCCCAACTAGATCTTTAGAATCCGTCAATCCCGTCTAACACAAATTCTCAAAATTGCAAAAATGGCAAACTTGGGTTAAATTGGTATATAATTTATTAAAATTGTTTTCTCATTCTTTGGTGGATTTTTATTGGTTATATGCTATAACTAGACACCTTAGGTACATTAAGGAAGATTCTACCTTTTTTTCCACCCAGGCCTCCACACCTTGAAATTTCTTTAGATTTCAGACGAAAATAAGAATTCTTACATTAAGGTATACAGGCTTTAAAACTATCCTCACTAAATCAGTACTTTCATCACATAACGATTTAATGTGCCTTTAGAAGGTATAGAAGCTCATTGAAGCCATTACGAAAATGAGGAGAAACACAGTTTTTATGAGTGTAATAAAAACACAATGATCTAGACCATAAACTAATCATCTAGCACTCTGCTTGTGCCACCCAAGTGTAACATTATAGAAGCCCACTCATTTAGAGAGGAATCCTTACAATTTGGCTACACTGTTCATTGGTTCAAAGATACAGCATTTCATTACAGAGGAGCTGCCTGAATCTCTGAAGATTTCATTAAGCATAAATCCAAATGAAAGTTAATTTAAACAAACAATTTGAATGTTACTCTGGGGTATAATAGATCTTTTGGGTCATTGTGTGAAAACACAGAAGTCAAATACACTAAATCAAACAGGCAATGAAATCTAGGACCATCAAAATCATCACCACAGGCAATTGTGAGTATCTCCAGAGCTTACATAGATAAGAGATATTCACTAAGACTCATTGACTGTGACTTTAAGATTACCATATTTTCTCCATTTTTTTAAACAACACTGTTGGGCCATCAGACATTTACTTGTATTTCTTCATGGATAAAAGAAGAGGGAGGGACTAAATCTAGTCCACAGATTTCACACTGCAGACAAATGAATGATTTCATGCATAATCTACTGAACAGAACCCATCCCAAAACAGACCCCTGTGGAACTCCACTTGTTATGCCCTTCCAGCATGATTGTGAACCAATCTTAAACCAAGACAGCTTCTTGTTGTTGTTCCTTACACTGCAACCTAGGTTAGGGTTCAGAGTTCCTACCATGGTGGCATTAAACATGACTTCATGCGGTATCACACTGTTGACTCATATTTAGCTTGTGGTCTACTATGACTCCTAGATCCCTTTCTGTAATACTCCTTCCTAAACAGTCATTTCCCATTCTGTATATGTGAAACTGATTGTTCTTTCCTAAGTGGAGTACTTTGCATTTGTTCTTATTAAACTTCACCCTGTTTACCTCAGACCATTTCTCTAGTTTGTCCAAATCATTTTGAACTATGAGTCCATCCTCCAAAGCACTTGCAACCCTTCCCACCCTGCTATCATCTGAAAACTTAATAAGCTACTCTCTATACCATCATCTAAAGCATTGATGAAGACATTGAACAGAACTGGTCCCAGAACAGATGCTTATGGAACCCCACTCATTATGCCCTTCCAGTATGACTGTGAAAGAGAAGTTTCTCATGCTGTGTAGTAACGATGATTCTTTGAGAAGTGTGTCCCCATGGGTGCTCCACTGCTGGTGTCAGGCTTGTCCTGGTGCCACGGATCAGAGAAATTTACAGCAGTGCCCAGTCGGGCTGCGCTTGCGCAAGAGGTGCTCGGTGTTCCCACCTTTGAAGTTAGTGCATGCAGCCTGATTCCCCTCTGTTTCTTCTCTGATGCCCTCCTGGCAACTTATTAATGGCCAAAGAAGCAGGGAGGGGGTGGATAGAGGAGCACCCACAGGGGGACACATCTCAAAGAAGAATTGTTAATGCACAGAGTGAGTAACTTCTCTTTCTTCTTCAAGTGCTGTCCCCATGGGTGCTCCACTATCAATGACTATGTAGCAGTACCCATTTAGATGGTAGGTGGGCTTTGGCTAGTTGTTGCAGGCCCTGGAGAGGGCCACAGTAGCTACTGTGGTGTCCGTTGTCGAGAATGGTGGAATTGCATACTGCTTCATGAAAGTATGATTCAACAACCAAATGGCTGCTCGATGTATTTCATGGAGTGGGACTCCGCTGAGGAAGGCACTTGATGTTGCTATCGCTCTGGTAGAATGAGCTTTGGGAGTCATCATAGAATCATAGAATACTAGGACTGGAAAGGACCTTGAGAGAACATCAAGTCCAGTCCCCTGCCCTCATGGCAGGGACCAAATACTGTCTAGACCATCCCTGATAGACATTTATCTAACCTACTCTTAAATATCTCCAGAGATGGGGATTCCACAACCTCCCTGGGCAATTTATTCCAGGGTTTAACTCCCCTGACAGTTAGGAACTCTAGGAGATTTGATACAAATAACAAATCTCCCCATGCTAAAGTTGCTCTCCTTGGTTTTTGAAACTCTCTGTAGAGAGCCCTGGAGTCACTGGCCATCAGAAAGGCCCCGTTTCCAGTTTCTCAGCTCTGAAATGGACCAACCCTTTGAGCCAAGCCAACCTGGCCCTTAGATTTTCTTGTACCTGTTGAAAAGTAGCTGCCCTGACCAAGCAACATGGAACAACCCATGGACAAAGGCAGACCTATTCGGGGAGATAGTTGAGCGTGCTTCTAGGCTTTCAGCGAAGACTTGCCCAAACCTGGGGGAAACAAGTAAATAATTGTCCATGGTTTCCTACTAATAGCAAATCCAAAATAACTGTGGCACAGGTAGCAGGCGATACTCTTGCTCTCTGGTTCAAAGGCAGCCCTGGCTTGCACTCAGCCAAACTCAGGCAGCAGAGAGCTCTGCAGAGTTCGACGTGTAATAAGTCAGGTTTCAGTTCTGTCCCAAGCAGGAAAGTGTTACGGTCAGCAACACCCTCGCCTATATTGGCAGGACCAGCAGAGAGATCGCAAATTTGAGTGTGTGCCATGGAGTGTGAATTCCCCTGCGGCACTCCTCAGCCTCGCGTGTTAGGGACGTGTGCCTTGCCGCTTTCTAGTCTTGTCAGTACTCAGAGGATGTTAGTCTTCAGGGTGGTTAACTCTTTTGTATTTTTCCCCAGCCCCAAATGCATTTGGAGGGGGGGGGGGGTAACGTGTGCCACATGTCTGGGGGGCAGGAAACCTGG